TTTTTTTTTTTTTTTTTTTTTTTTGAGACGGAGTCTTGCTCTGTCGCCCAGGCTGGAGTGCAGTGGCCGGATCTCAGCTCACTGCAAGCTCTGCCTCCCGGGTTCACGCCATTCTCCTGCCTCAGCCTCCCGAGTAGCTGGGACTACAGGCGCCCGCCACCTCGCCCGGCTAGTTTTTTGTATTTTTAGTAGAGACGGGGTTTCACCGTGTTAGCCAGGATGGTCTCGATCTCCTGACCTCGTGATCCGCCCGTCTCGGCCTCCCAAAGTGCTGGGATTACAGGCTTGAGCCACCGCGCCCGGCTATTTTTGTATTTTTAATAGAGGTGGGGTTTCCCCATGTTGGCCAGGCTGGGTCTCAAACTCCTGACTTCAAATGATGCACTCACCTCAGCCTCCCAAAGTGCTGGGATTACAGGCGTGAGCCATCGCACTCGGCCCACTGAGTCCGAATGTATCAATTTACTTAAAAACATACACTGTGAGGGCATTTTTATAGTACAAAAGCCATGCCCTGGGTGAAGATTGAGCAGAATACCTTTTTAAGGTGCTACAGAAGTGAGGACTCCAAAGGCGGAAGGGAGGCGGCTGACCTCGGACAGAGGTCCATTTTCCTCTTTATCGTGCACACGAAATCGCAGCAGATCCTTTTTTTTTTGCTCTCATTTTTTTTGTGTCTTACGTGGATTCGTTTTCAGTTTTGTGGTTAAAATAGTCACATAGCTTGATCTTCAAAAGTGCTGCAATATTTTTTCATTGCTATTGGCTTTCTATTTCACTCCCCCTTTTTTTCCACATTTGCTGTAGAAATCTATCCATGGTGTGGTGGTGAAGTTGCTCTCCTGTTTCTAGAGCTATGGTGAAAGGAACAGCGATCTGTGCATTCGTCAGCAAATGAAGACAACCTCTTAACTCTGCTGAATTAGACAGCAATGCAGTAGACAAACGAGTGATCTCAAAGAGATAAAGAAACCAGAGAGGCAGTGTGACCACCAGTAAAAACAATGGGTGAGGCTGGGTGCGGTGTCTCACACCTGTAATCCCAGCACTTTCAGAGGCTGAGGTAGGAGGATCACTTGAGTCCAGGAGTTGGAGACCAGCCTGGGCAATAAAGTGAGATCTCATCTCTACAAAAGATAAAAAGTTAGGCACCTGTGGTCGCAGCTACTTGGGAGGCTGAGGTGGGAGGATTGTTTGAGTACAGGAGGTTGAGGCTGCAGTGAGCCCTGTTCACACCACTGCACTCCAGCCTGGGTGACAGAATGAGACCCTGTCTCAAAAATAAAATGAGGCCGGGTGCAGTGGCTGATCCCTGTAATCCCAGTACTTTGGGAGGCTGAGGCAGGAGGATCACTTGAGGTCAGCAGTTCAAGACCAGCCTGGACAACATGGCGAAACCCTATCTCTACTAAGAATACAAAAATTAGCCAGGTGTGGTGGTGCACACCTGTAGTCTCAACTACTCGGGAGGCTGAGGCAAGAGAATGGCTTGAACCCGAAAGGCAGAGGTTGCAGTGAGCCAAGATTGTGCCATTGCACTCCAGCCTGGGTGACAGAGCAAGACTCCATCTCAAAAAATAAAAAAATAAAAATAATAAATAAAAGAAAATGAAACAAAACAACAACAACAATCCACTAGGCGAGCAGTTTGGAGACTCAGTGCCTCATAGCAATCCTATCAGGACTTCAGTGTTCTGCACAAATCAGAAATAACTCCTGTCCTATTTACTTCACCATGATTGCCCTGGAGAGGAAATACCTGGAAAAAATGAAAATAGGAGGTATATTTTCTTAGGAATACATTTTAATAGGAATCATAGTATTATAATCATAAATTTGGAGAAAGAATTTATAACGAAGTTTCTAAGGCAGTGCTAAGCCTTACACTAAAAGAACAAGACTGATTATCAGATATTGGCTGCACTAGACATAGAGGACATTGTTGGTCATCTGACCCAAACTCATTCATTCCTAACCCCTTTCTCTCTTGTCCATCTCAGCTGAAAAGGCTGCAAAAGTTTCCATTGTGTCTCATGGAGGCCACATGACACAGTTCTGGCTAAAGAGTTGTAAGCAGAAATTTGTTGCGGACTTGCAGAGAGAGAAGCTTTTGCCTTTTTCTTATAAAAGGGGCAGATACAGTTGGTGTGAATTCCTCTCTTCTTTCTACCTTGAATATTGCTGTAATGTCTGGAGCTGGAGCAACTATTTTGTGATCACGAGACAACGAGCCAACACGCTAGGTATCATGAAGAGAAAGAACGAGCTTGCCTGGGTCTTTGATGACATTGATGAGGTGCTACCCCAGCTGTGGGTGGCCTACCTTGAGACTTTTTGTTTATTTAAGACTTTTTTGGTGAGGGGAGGGTGGGTTTTTTTGTTTGTTTGTTTGTTTTGTTTTGTTTTGCTTTTTGTTTTTTTGAGACAAAGAGTCTATTCTGTCACCCAGACTAGAGTACAGTGGTGGGATCTTGGCTCACTGCAACCTCCACCTTCCAGGATCAAGCGATTCTCCTGCCTCAGGCTCCTGAGTAGCTGGGATTACAGGTGCCTGCCACCATATCCAGCTAATTTTTGTATTTTTAGTAGAGACAGGGTTTCAGTGTTGGCCAGGCTGGTCTCGAGCTCCTGACATCAGGTGATCCGCCCACCTTGGCCTTCCAAAGTGCTGGGATTACAGGCGTGAGCTACCGTGCCCGCCTATTTAAGACTTTGAGAGTTGAGTTTTCTGTTACTTCCAGCCAAAGCATTCTAAAGTACACCTAATTCCAAAGTACACTTTGTTCCTGATAGCACGGAGTGCTATAATATGTTATAGGCTATATATTTAGACTTAACTAAATTGTTTTTTCTTAAAAGGAAATTACCATATAGTCATTTGCAATTTTGCTTTACTTTTCAAAACTATATGATGAAGCAAAATATAGGAATAATATTTTTAATTTCTATTTTGAACATTTTTAAACATACATAAACACCGTAAAAGGACTCCTTTCTCAGCCGCTCCAGTCGCAGTCACCACTCAGCCTGTCTCCTCCCTCCAGGGCAGGCGAGCTTGCTCCCACCCAAGGCACTCCCTTTCTCCAGGGCACACCTAGAATTGCCAGAAAGGTCTTCTGGATGTTTCATCAAACCTTTCCACCCTGTAACTTTTTACTGCACTCTCTGGAGTGACAATGTGTAGGCCGTTTTATAAAACAGTCATGGCATTTTCTCTCTGTGTGAATCTTGCAGGCCAATCAGAAAAGGGGTATTTCTGGAGAAGATTAAGGACAGAAAGGAAGGAGGCCTGCCAGCCCCGGAAGCAAGGGTACGCTGGGAATCCTGTTCCTCCTCCTGCGAGGGGATGCTGGGGAGGAGGCGCGCGGCGGCGGTGCCCTCCTTTCTTCCCTGTCCGTCTGTTGGCCCAGCTCCCGTGCTGGGCCTGGGCATTCAGGGTCAGAGCTGCATTGTCAGAGGCCCTGGTGAGCCTCCTCAGTTGACAACGATGGAACAGTCAGACCCCAGCCTGAAAACTCGTCCTGTCCCTAGTAGGTTCTCCTGGGATGTGGAATTGATTTGAACAACGTTTCTATTAAGGACAGGCAGACCTTGCTGTTCTCAGCATGTGAAAGCCCCCTTCTTTCCCATATACCTGGGACAGGTGTGCTTCGGGTTGTTTTTCCAGCTGTGATGCTGGGTTGGGGCCTGGGGCCCAGCCGATAGGCTGGCACACCTGTGTGGGGAGCTTGATCTTGGCCACGGAAGTCAGTAAAGCTCCCTGGTCCCCAGAGGCCACGGGCACCTGCAGTCTCTGTAGCAACCCAGCCAACAGGCTTGTTGACTTTCAGCAACAGACCAGGAGGAAGGAACGAGCAGGAACCCGGGGACCTGGACAGAGGCAGACCCCGCACGCTCCAACCCCAGGGCCTGGAGTTTGCAGAGTGTGGCACTGCGTGAATGGTAGCCTGCGGCTGCCCGGCACACTCAGAGCAGGGGCAGAGAAGATAATTTGTGCCTGGAAAGCCCTGTCCCTGGGCTGACTCGGGTACAATCCTCTGAGAGATCAGTCTCTATATCCAGTCGTAAGGCCGTAAGTCAAGTCTTGTGTGTGTAGCTATGGACAGATAGTGCCTTATATGCCTTTTTTTTTTTTTTTTTTTTTTTTTTACAAAAACCAATAATTTATAATGAACTTCCAAACCAACCCTTCCTATTCACAGCTGTCCAGCACCTGTCCCACCCAGCAGTGCCCAGACAGGCTTTCCCAGGGAGCTGAGCCGAGTGAACTCAGTCCTCACCTGTGCCACACGGGTCTTCCTAACACCTCCAGGGGTGTGTGGGGTGGGGAGCGTGGGGGTGATGTTGGCAGAGCGCCCCAGCTGCTTCGCTGATGACCGACACCAGGGAACTTGAAAGGGACTGACTTGCTTTCCTCCTGACTGGTAGCTGTCTGCACACTCTGATGGGCAGCCCGTTTTTCCTGGCCTTAGGCTGCCTAGGCTCACGAGTCCTGTTGTCTCTTTGAGGCTTCTAAATGCCAATTAAAATAAAAATCCCATTCTCTTTGCCTAAGTTGGGAGGCTTGGGCTTCAAGTGCACTTCTTAGATAAATGGTCTTGTTCATCTAGAATGTTCCGCAGATGGCCACTGCAATTCTTTTTTTTTTAAATTGTATTTTGTTTTACTTCAAGTTCTGGTGCCCTGGTGCGCTCTGACATGCGGGAGAGGAAAAGGAACCTGCGCCGGCCACTAAGGAGGAGACTGGTGAAGAAGGACGATGACCAGCAGGATCCCAGTGTCCTGGATCCAAAGGAAGGAAGCATTTCAGGGAGTGGACAGTGGTCAGTGATGGCCAAGGCTGTGAGGGGTCCAGGAGGACGAGGTCTGGGAATTGTCCTTGGGATTTGGCAATGTGGAGGTAGTTGCTGGCCCTATAAGAGCAGTCTTGAAGGATGGCTGGGGGTGCACAGTGCTTTTTCACAGCCCATTTCTTCCTGCTTGGTCCTCTGTATATGTGAGGATCTAGTTATCAACTTGAGATCGTGAAAAGCACACAGGCTGGCTGTGCACAGTGGCTCACACCTGTAATCCTGGCACTTTGGGAGGCCGAGGCGGGCAGATCACCTGAGGTCAGGAGTTCAAAATCAGCCTGGTCAACATAGCGAAACCCCATCTCTACCAATAACTGGGTGGCTGAAAGAGCAGAAATCTATTTTCTCAGTTATGGAAGCTGGAAGTCCAAGATCAAGGTGCTGGCAGTGTTGCTTTCTTCTGAGGCCTCTCTCCTTGGCTTGTGCAATATGGTTTTCTTCTCCCTCTGTCCTCACATGGGATTCCCTCTGTGGGCACCTGTCTGGGTCCAAATTTCACCTTCTTTTTATTTTTCATTTTATTTTAGTTGTTTGTTTTGTTTTGTTTTGTTTGAGACAGGGTCTTGCTCTGTCAGCCAGGCTGGAGTGCAGTGGCATGATCTCAGCTCATTGCAGCCTCATACTCCTGGGCTCAAGTGGTCCTCCTACCTCAGCCTCCCAAGTAGCTGGGACTACAGGTGTGCACTACTGCCCCAGCTAATTTTTTTGTATTTTGTGTAGAGGTGGGGTTTCACTATGTTGCCCAGGTTAGTCTTGAGCTCCCAGGCTCAAGCGATCCACCCTCCTTGGCCTCCCAAAGTGCTAGGATTACAGGTGTGAACCACTGGGCCCAGCCTTTGTTTTTTGTTTTAAGAGACAGGGTCTTGCTCTGTCACCCAGGCTGGAGTCCAGTGGTGTGACCATAGCTCACTGTAACCTCAAACTCCTGGGCTCATGTGATCCTCCTACCTCAGCCTCCAGAGTAGCTGGGGCTACAGATGCATGCCACCATGGCTGCCTACTTTTAATTTTTTGTAGAGTCTCACTATGTTGTCCAGACTGGTCTCAAACTCCTGGCCTCAAGTGATCCTCCTGTCTTGGGCTTTCAAAGTGCTGGATTACAGGCGTGAACCACCGCACCTGGCAAAATCTACACAAAATCTCCTCTTTGTGTAGGGACCCCAGTCCTGATGGATTAGGGCCCACCCTAAAGACCTCCTTTTCACTTAACCGTCTAGTTAAAGATCTCGCCTCTAAGTGCAGTCCCATTCTGAGGCACTGGGGGTTAGAAGTTCAACGCATGGATTTGGGGGGCAAAATTCAGCCCATACGGAGTGGATGGGGGGAGGAAGTTTAGATAGAGAGGCTCAGGAAGTCCTCACTAAGGAGCCATTTTTTGATGGACGTGAAGGAGGTAAGAGAAGCAGCGTCAGGCATCTGGAGTAACTGCCTCCCCCACGCAGAAGCCCTGTGTGGGGGCTCACCTGGTGCACCAGCACGAGGACTGTGGCAAGCCTGGCTGGACAAGGCCCAGAGAGCAGTCACATATGGGTCTGGAGACCGGCCAGACCACGGAGCACCTGGACTTCAGCCTCCACAGAGTGGGCTGTGCAGATTGACGGTGTCAGCAGGGCCATTCCAGCTGCTGGTGAGGCCAGGGGAGAAGGAGGGTGACTAGATCCAAGCTAAAGATGCCAGACCAGGTGGGGACAGTGGGTGCCTGCCACGACCTCAAACTGTAGGTCCTGGAGAGAGCCTCTGTTCCCCCAGTGCTGCGAGTGTTGCTCCTGGCTGGGGTGCCCTGCCCAGGTCACCCCTCCTCAGAAGCCAGGACCGCTGGATGCACTCAGGCAGCTCAACTCCTCATCCTCCCCCTCCATCTTTCTCCCCAGTACAGACCCTGCAGGCACATCCCCGGCTCGGAGTCCATGCCACAGGGAACCGAACCTGAAACAGTGAGCCCGTGAACCGTGGTCAGAGCCTGGATATGCTTTTCAGTTAGAACTGGCAGGCTTGAGGCGTTCCTCTTCATTTTGCAGAGGAACCGGAGAGAAACAGTTAGCCAAGGCTACCTCCAGTTCTTCAGTCCACCCTGGGTTTAGGCCCAGAGGATCTTGACTAGGACTTCTAGATTGCGTGCACTATGGCCAGCGTCCTGGGCCTTTCCCACTCTCGCTAACTCCCATTCCCACCCTCGTGTGCTCACGGGGAGCTCACCAAGGGCCAGTTCTCGGGAGGACAGCACCGCCTCCTCCAGCTTGCCCACAGCCCTGTCCCACTACCCGCTCCCTCCTGCCTCCATACCTGTCCTTCTCTCCTTCTCTCCAACCTTCTCTCCCTCCAGATCCTGCCACCTCCCTTTCGGGGGCCTTCCTTTCTCCCCTCTAGAGACAGGTGCCTCTCCCTGCTGGGCCTGAGCTCTCCTACTCTGCTCTTTGCTGTTTGCCTTCCACCATGTGCGGGTCTGGCTGGTCCTCGAAGGTCTCTGCTGTCCCATCTGCCCCCGATTCTGTTCATCTTGTGTTTCTCCCAGCCCGGCTTCCACAGCCAGCAGACTACACTCACGGCACCATTTCTTCCTTACTTCTTTGCAAGCTGGCTTTTTTGCCCAACCCTCTAGTGAAGCTGCACCCTCAAAGGTCCCCGTTACCTTCTCACCAAACCAATTTTCTTTTCTGAGTCCTGATTCTTGGAGACCTTCCTGAGGTTTTTAAACCAGTCGCCTCTCAGGGCTTTTGCATGTGGGAGGCTGTAGCCCCAGAAGCCTGATGACTGTTTCTCTTACCTCCTTTGGGTCTGTTAAAAAATGCCTCCTTTTTGAAGAGGGAGGAGCCCTCAGGAATGGTTTAGTGCCATCCTCTGGATGATGAGTTTTCACTCAGTTCATGTGAGATCCAGAGCTGTCTGGGTCACGCCCTTGGCTCCTCTGCTTTCTCAGGGTACCTCTTGATCGTCTTTTCCTCCTGCCCCTGCCTTCTACCCCCGTCTGTCTCCACTCCCCTTTGATCGCTGCCATACGCTTTCCTGATCCTTCATCTGTAGCCATTTCCCATTGGACGACCTGCCCACCCAGTCTCTGTCTCCAATTAAACTCGCCGCCTCCTTGCTCCGGGATGGTATTGCTGCTGTCCCGTTCTCAAAATGCCAGGGTCCTGTCTGACTTCCCACTGTCCTTTGTGCGGCTTGTATTATACCAAATACACAGCCCACAGGAGGTTGGGAGGACAGGTATGGAGGCAGGAGGGAGCAGGCGGTGGGACAGGGCTGTGGGCAAATACAGGCACCAAATACAGACTTGTATTTCTTTTAAACCTCTCTTGTCTTACTTGACTTGGGCTCTGATAGGGGTTAGATGTCTGTCCACTCCAAATCTCCTGTTGAAATGTAATCCCCAGTGTTGGAGGTGGGACCTGGCGGGAGGATTGCATCATGAGGGTGGACCTCTCATGAGTGGTTTAGTACCATCCTCTTGATGATAAGTGAGTTCTTGCTCAGTTAATTCACGGGAGATCTGAGTGTTTGAAAGAGTTCAGCACCTCCCCGCTAGCTCTCCTGCTCCAATCTCACCACGTGACATGCTGGCTCCTGGTTGCCTTCCACCATGACGGTAAGCTTCTTGAGGCCTCCCCAGAAGCAGACACCAGCACCATGCTTCCTGTACAGCCTGCAGAACCGTGAGCCAATGACATCTATTTTCTTTATATATTACCCAGTCTCAGGTATTCCTTTATAGTAACACAAAGACTAATAATATAGGTTTCCACAATAAAATACCACAGGCTGGTGGCTTAAACAATAGAAATGTATTTCTCAGTTCCAGAAGCTAGAAAGTCTGAGATCAAGGTGCCAGCTGATGTGGCCCTTGGTGAGGGCCCTCTTCCTGGCCAGCAGATGCTCAGGCCCTTCCCTCCGTGTCTCTTCTTGTTTTTTTTTTTCTTTGAGACAGTCACACTGTCACCCAGGCTGGAGTACAGTGGCTCCATCTCCACTCACTGCAACCTCTGCCTCCCGGGTTCAAGTGATTCTCCTGCCTCAGCCTCTCGAGTAGCTGGGATTACAGGCACACACCACCACACCCAGCTATTTTATTTTTTTTTATTTTTAGTAGAGATGAGGTTTTGCCATGTTGGCCAGGGTGGTCTCAAACTCCTGACCTCAAGTGATCCACCCACCTCAGCTTCCCAAAGTGCTGGGATTACAGGCATGAGCCACCACGCCTGGCCTGTCTCTTCTTATGACAGTAATCCTATCATTGTGAGGGCCCCACTGGCATGACGTCATCTGACCTAATGAGCGCCCAAAGATCCCATCTCTAAATACCTTTCCATTGGGGGTTAGGGCTTCAACATATGGATTTGGTAGAGCCGCAGGGGATGGGCAGTAGGGTGGTTCAAACGTTCAGTGCGTATCTCCCCTGCATTCCCCTCTTTGTTTGCTCTGATAACCTGTTGGGCTCCCTGGCTCCCTCAACCACACCACGCTGAGCTACATTTCCTGCTGTGGCTTACTCTGGGGCTGGTGGATTTGGCTTTTGCTTCCTTCCCCACCTCCTCCCCTTCCCAATTCCCTACCCTCCAGACATTCCACATCTCAGAAAGGGGAAGCACCCAACCCTCCCGCCGCAGATGGGCCCACTCCTTTGCCCAGACTCCACTGGGGTTTAGGTGTCTGGGCCGACCTTTTCCTTGAGTGCCTCAAGGTCAGTTACTTGCTCCATCTGCAAAAGGTGCCGGTGCCTGGGTACCCTTGGTCTATCAAGCCAGTGCACATGTGAGGAAGCTGCTCCCTCTGCTGCCCAGGTGGGCTGTCCCACCCGAAACCAGAGAGCAGAGGCCCCAAAACCCAGCAGGCTCTTGGCTCACCCAGCCAATTCTCAGAGACGGAGGAACAGCCGCCGTAGTTCCTTGAGTCTGAGATGTGAATTTTAACATTGTCTAAATCAGGGCAGAGATGACTATCAGTGGCATGTTCTAGTTTAATTGGAAGCTTTTTTTTTTTTTTTTTTTTCTCAGTGGTACATAAAATAGTGGTTCATTTTACAGTTGATGGTGACTTGGATTCTATAAGCTGTAAAGCTCAAGTGCTGGTCCTGACTGCAGGAAAATTTCTAAAATAGGTATGGTATGCCACTGTGCCGGACTTTAGACTATGTGATGCTAGTTAGGAAAGAGGAGAGAGAAATAAATGGAAGACTGGGTCCCCTCCCTAAGGCCTTACCACTTAATTTGCAAAACAGGGCTAAAAGATATAAAAACACTTCTCAAAATATATATAGATATATATATATAAAAAATCTGGGTGTTATATAAGCACTATTATCTGGGACCTCAGCATTCCAGGAAGGCTTCCAGGAAGAAGTGAATTTGGGGTCAAAAAGTGGGCCAAAGGCTCATATGCCTCACTGAATGGGCATACTGTTTTCATGAGGTAGTAATATTTCCATTTACACAGAAGGAAGCTGCTCGGACAGCTGATGAGCATCATGCCTGGGATATTGAGCACATCATGCTTGGCCTGGGCCGAGTTTGTGGGCAAGGAAAGGGGCTGAGGGTCGGGATGATCTCCGCTGGGGTTGCTCAAATTTATTACCCAATCATCCCCTGAGAAGTTGTCCCCTTGTCTGGTCATTACTGAATGTCTGCAGGGGCATGGCAATGTTCTGCTTGGCTCTGGGGGCTCTGCCCTTCCTAGGACAAGTCCCAGAGACAAACAGCTTGGCCCAGTGCAGCAGAATGGGGTGAGAGCGGAACTGAGTTCGTTTGCCGGCGGGATGGAAACAGCTGATGGAGGCTTCTCCACGATCCCCACGTACCCATCACAAGAGAAGGGAATTAAGCCAATTAAGCCGCCAAACCACCCCAAAGGGTGATTCCAACTCAGCCCTAAACACCCATCCCCACTCCACCTCCCCTGCAGCTCTGACAGGCTGAGCCTCGGCGCTAGAACCCAGCGCCAGAAGGCCGGGCCACAGGTGACTGGGCTGCGAGGCCACACTCCAGCGAACACGCGCGGACACATGCCGGTGTCCAGGGCCGGTGGGAGAGGCGCTGTCACCATCTGACAGGAGAGGAAGGTGGCGCGCAGAGAAGTCACGTGGTAAGTGGGGGTCGTGGTCTGGGGATCACAGCTCCAGGTTTCTTCGCGACACCGCACCGTTGACCCCCAACACCTCTCCCTGGCGGGGACGGTGACCGCAACAGCCTCTGGAATAGAACGCTAGTGAAAAGTAACCTTTCTTCAGCCCGCTCCACGCGCTCCGCACCCGCTAAGCGTCTCCGCGAATGAACTCAGTTCTCCTCGCCGAAGTAGGCGCAGTTATGACCCCGCTCCACTGCAGGGAGACTGAGGCACGCAAGGTCGAAAGGACTCGTCCAGGGTCGCAGGAGCCGACCACACAGGGAGGCGGAGCGCCCCCGGCGGGAGCAGTCAGCGGGTCCAGCCTGGCGGGCTCCCGGGCCGGGCTGCCCATATAAGGCCGCGGGCGGCCGGCATCGCGGCCCGGCTCTCGGGGGCGCCCCGCGCGGGGTATCCTCCTCCGCGGCGAGGAATGCGTGGCATCTGGGAGGCCCTTCCGCTCCACGCCCGCCCACGGGAAGCCTCAGCCCCGGGGCGCGGCCTCGCGCAGCTGCCTGGCCGCTGGGGGGAGCGCCGGGCCGGGCGGGAGGCGGCAGCGCGCCCTCACCTGCCCCAGGCCGGGGAGGCGGGTGTGGGGAGGAGGAGGAAGGGGAGGAGGCCGGGAGGAGGCCGGGGAGGAGCCTGGCGCGGCGGGAGCGGCGGAGCAAAGTGAAACTCTGGGAAGTTGCGGGCGCGCGGGGAGCTGTCGCGGGCAGCGCGCCCTCGGGGGGACGTGGCCTCGGCCTTCGCCCGCAGCGGGCCCGACCCCTCATGGCCCTGAGCAAAGGGCTGCGGCTGCTGGGGCGCCTGGGGGCCGCGGGGGACTGCAGCGTGCTGCTGGAGGCGCGCGGCCGCGGCGACTGCCTGCTGTTCGAGGCCGGCACGGTGGCCACGCTGGGTGAGTCCGGCCCGGGGGCAGCGACGCCCGGAGGAGAGGGCGCCCGCCTTCGCCCAGCCTTGGGAAGACGGGGTACCCCACTTCCCGAGGGAATCCGGCGGCGCGGGGACTGCTGGGGCGTGGGGGTCGCGCGCAGAGGGGTGGCTTTTTGAATGAAGTGGGACTGGGGACTCCAGAGAGCACCCGGCTGGGCGGGTGGTGCACGGAGGCCGGCCGCCCCTCCACGGGGATCTCCGGCCCGCGCGGCCAGAGGATGTGGTTGCTGGAGAGCCGGCTGGGGCGCTTTGCGTATTCATGAGGATCCCCTGGGGTTGACTGAGGAGCCGGCCTGACCCTGTGCCAGGCGCCTTTTCTTTTGCACCTGTTGATGAAACCAGTGATTGCCCTTTGGTTTGTGTTGGCGGCTCCACTCCTGGAGGGGATGGGGGCCAAAGCCCCAAAAAGGCTCTGGAGAAACTGCTGATGGCACCTTTGTCTCACGTAAATACTTGGTCAAGAAGCATCGGTAGTGCAATTTATAGAACTTGTAAGAATATATACCATGACCCTACCTTTATGCTGTCTTAGATCCTGCCAAGCCAGCCAATTTCACCTATGGACTTCAGAAGCCTTGAAACTGGCACTGTGCTAGGGGCTTTAGGACATTATCTCACTTCATTCTCACAATTCTACTAAAGAGTTATTATTATCCCCATTTTGCAGATGAGCAAACTGAGGCCCAAAGAGGCTAAGAAAGTTGCTTGCCAAGGTGACATCATCCACCTGACTTTTATGTGGCTGTTTCTGTAATGTCATTCAATGCATGGCTTCCTGGTATCAGTAACCTGGATCCCTTGTTTTGTGCTCACCATTATAAGGAAAGCCTGGGTAGCAGCAAAGCACGTGAAACCAACTCTGATTGTTAGACTTGTAAATGTGGACACCGGAGAGTAGGCTCCCACCAGTAGGCGTCCAGCTGTAACAGCTTCCCGGTATTCCTAGCTAAACAAGGTGCAGCCCAGGGTCACTTGTACTTGAGGTGGTCGGCAAATGCAGCAGGCAGTCACTTGCAGTATGCTTCATAGATGCCTCTAACCTTGTTTTCACATTTGTGTGTGTCGACTCTAGTTTGGATGTATGTCTTGGAAGGACTCTCCTATTTCTGATTCCCTAATCATTTAATTAACATGCATTTATCCAGCCTGTTCTCAGTCACTTGATTACTGAACCAATGTCTCCAGTATTCTCAGCATCAAAAGTGGGCAGCGAATTGTAGATTAAGTTATTTTCAGGTTATTCCAATGTGTGCTGTCCCGAAGAGTCTAAGTTTGGTCATTTGTATGGCCTTAAAAGAAAACCACAGAAATTTTCATTCCATTTTAGATGTCTGCTTCATACCACATTTATCAGAAGCAAAAGGTTAATTTCACGGTACAAAACTACTGTTTCATCAAATAGATTAAAATGTCCTTCAGTTGGATTACGGCAACATTAAGCCAGGTTCATACGCATTCAAGAATTCTTTGAAGCAGCTTAGAAAAATTTTGTTTTTTCAAAAGTGAAGATTTAAAAATGATTAATGACAGTAATGTAGTGCATATTTTCCATTAGGAGCTGGAGTTTGGGCTGAGATTTACATCACGTTGGTGATTACAGTGTACCGGAGTTTAGAACGGAGAATGTAAGAAGGGAATTGGCTCGTCTTCAACTCCTGTGCAGTCCACGTTTGTCATTTAACCTAGCATTCATTTTTCAGTAGAAAACTTAAAAAAAAAATTTTTTTTTTTTTTGAAACAGAGGCTGCTTCTTTTGCCTAGGCTGGCATGCAGTGGCACAATCACAGCCCACTGCAGCCTCAACTTCCCAGGCTCAAGCGGTCCTCCCGCCTCAGCCTCCTGTGTAGCTGGAACTACAGGCACGTGCCACCACGCCTGGCTGATTTTTTTCTTTCTTTCTGTTCTTTTCTTTCTTTCTTTCTTTCTTTTTTAAATGGAGTCTCACTATTTTGTCCATGCTGGTCTCAAACTCCTGGGTTCAGGTGATCTTCCCACCTCAGTCTCCCAAAGTTTTAGGATTATAGGCATGAACTACTTACTGTGTCTGGCCTGAAAACTTAATTTTTTAAAGTCTGTTTTATTTAAGTGAAATGAAACTATTTTTAAAAAGCAGCTGTAGCATTTGGTGGCTTTGCTGGTCCAGAGAAGGTTTGCAGGAGAGAGCCTTCTGTTACTAGAAGGTTGTTTCAAACTTTCAACATATCCTAAATCTATCACTGTTGGATAAAATGGCTCTGAACTTGAAATTCCCATCTGTATTCCAAAGGGCTCGCTAGCTGTTTTACTTTCCTTTCTTGGAGAAAGTGATTTTTTTTTTTTTTTCTTTTTCTTTTTTTTTTTTGAGATGGAGTTTCACTCTTGTTGCCCAGGCTGGAGTGAAGTGGTGGGATCTTGAGTCACTGCAACATCCCCACCCCCGCCCGGGTTCAAGTGATTCTCCTGCCTCAACCTCCCCAGTAGCTAGGATTACAGGCACACGCCACCATGCCCGGCTAATTTTTGTGTTTTTAGTAGAGACAGGATTTTGCCATGCTGGCCAGGCTGGTTTCTAACTCCTGAACTTAGGTGATCCACCTACTTTGGCCTCCCAAAGTGCTAGGATTACAGGCATGAGCCACCACGCCTGACCTGAGAAGGTGAATTTTTACAAGAAGGCTGCAATCTCTACTTTTGTATGGGACAGTACACTAGTGACAGCTGGCGTAGCTCGTGGTCTAATCTTGACCTTTCACCCTTTCCTTGAGGTTCAGGGTTGGGGGTAGCTTCCTTTTCTCTTCAGCTTTGGTTTTCCTGTGAGGGGTCCCTCCCAGTTAGTAATGAGAGGCTGAGGCTGAAGTTGTGGGTAATTGCTTGCTGGGTAATGGTCTTTCCCATCCCCTGAGTCATTGTGACTTCTGTCCTGCTCTGCTGCCAATGCACACAGCTGCTTTCCTAGGGGCGAGAAGAGATGAGGGGAGTGGGCCTGATGATCCCAGGCACTGCCCCTTCATAGCACATTTTATTCCTGAAGGATCCTAGCTGGAAAAGTACCTCTCGCCGAAGGGGCTGGGTGGTTCCTTATTATTTTCAGGCAAGGCCTGGAGACAGGGGCTTGAGCTGGACTGTGATTTTTAGGACAAACTGATGGTCCATGATTCGTTGAATGCTGCACTCCTCCCATCTGAACCTGTCCTCACCTATCCTGTGCTAAAGAGAACTCTTCACACTAGGCCATCTGGCCTGCTAGCAGGATTGTTGAAGGAATTATTCCAAATTCCTGCTTCTAAAAGAATTAGGTTGTGAATCTGTCTTTTCTGTAGATCAGTGGGAGCAGAAATTCCAGAGGCAGAAAAGCCAAATGTATTGGCACTGATTTAAAAGGCTTTTATGAAGTCTCAGGAACCTGACTGGAGGGTAGTTGGCCTTCTCAGCACAGGTGGGAAGCCCCGTAGCCGGTACCAGCTTCCCTGGGTAATAATCCACAATTAACAAACAGATGTTCCCTTATTTGCACATGGGACAAAAACCTATTCCTGTCTCTGTCTCTTGTAAACTTAGGGAAAAGTGCTTATTGTTAATGGATTTTTGTCTATTTTCAGAGTAAACGACAGTGTTCCAAAGTTCAAGGTTCTCCAGCAGCCCCCAGGAGCGGGGCCTGAGGGTGTCCCTGTGTTTACAGTCGGGGCTGTGTGTGAGTGAGGTCCTGCCTCCTGCGGCCCAGCCTGGCTTTGCTGTGAACAGGCAGCAGGGAGGGAGGGAGGGATGGGGCAGGAAGCTTGAGAGAATTAAGTTAATTAATGTGTGTCCCTAAATTACTTTGAGCTTCTGGGGTGGGGGGGGGGAAGGTTCTGTGTAAACACCAGGCCCCCAGGTTCTCCCAGCTGCTGTTTGTGCAGAGGCCACATCTCTGTTTAGCTTTGTTTGAATTGGTGAGATGGCCCCAGGGCGGAGCAGGACTCAGTCTGAACTGTTGCCTAGATCACTTTCCCAGACT